AGAGCCACCACTAATATCGTATAAAAGAGGTAAGTCCCTAAGACACTCCTAAGAGCAAAACTATAAAGGGGTCACTGCCACTCCTTGCTAATTCCTACTGTTTGCCATGGGAAACCTGTTACCCCATCATCTTGCTTCGTAGCCATTGTGTCACAATGCTCATAGTCAAGCATGCACATGAGCAAGATCATCATGCAGGGACCAACCAAGTACTAGCGCAGCTTTCAGTCCAGTATTGGATAATTTCTGCAAGAGAAGCAATTAGAGAGTGGGAAAGAGAATGCATGCAGTGTAGAAGAAGGAAGGCTTCTCCAGCTAAGTAAATCATGGCCCCTTTGCCAGCGTTACCCACACGGAAGTCCCTTCGAGCATTCAGCCACATATCTGTTGACTTTGGTGGACCTTTCATGACCAAACAGGGGAGAGGAAAGACACGCCAGAAGATACCTGTGTCTGTTTACTTGCCTAGAGACTAGGGCTTTGCATCTTGAATTAGCATACAGCCTTGACACTGATTCATTCCTAAATGCATTCTTTTGAATGACGTCACAATGTGGTGTTCCCAAAGATGTTGTTTGTGACAATGGAACTAACTTTGTTGGTGGAAGTAATGAGTTGAAAGAACTAGAAGCCTTAGACCAGAGCAAGATCCAAGATACAACATCGAGCCACAGAATCTGAAACCGAACCTTTTTCTTTTCATAGTGTTTTTTCTGTTTGTGCAATTTTGTTGATATTGTCTTATCAAGGAAGGGGAGGATGTTCTGCAGAAAGCCTTGTTGTAAATTAGCAATTCCCTGGGGTCCCCCTCCTAGTACGAGTTTTGCACACATGCGCAGTAAGACCTGTTGTTCGACCACGAGGTTGCGAGTTGTCGGCCATGTTGAAAAGTGTACACGTTTATCTCCTCGGAAATTAAAATGTTGTATGTTCTAAAGACTGAACCTTTTTGCTGACCTTCGAACCTGGGACATACGGAACAGTGACCTTCCATTGGGCTTGCTTCCAGTTCAAAAAATTCTGAGAAAGCATCACTGAGACAGGCAATGTTTTACCATGGAGTAGCCACATGTAGTCACAAGAAATTTTACTCAGCTTTTCACTCAACTTTTTGAGCATTTTCGTGCACATTTCAGGCTCCACTGAGCCAATCACTCTGATCTGAGTATCATTGGAAAGATCTTTTCCTCCTGCAGAAGTTGAGCATAGATGATGTCAATTTTGGTCAAAGGTAATGACGTCAGAAGTGGAACAAAGGCCAAGGCATGTCAAGGCCGGTTACAGGCGGCACAGGAGTCAATGGGTTAAGGTGCAAATGAAGATGGCATGGAACCTTAAGGATGGTGGCATAACAGGATTTACCGTGGCTGAAGATGAATTGCCTTTGTTACATGATGTGTTCTCATCTGCCATTCAGAGTGGTTGCCAAAGGGCTAGTTCTATTGTCCAATTTCTCTGGAGGGACCTGACTTCAGGTTATGATATGATTGGGTCCTATTTTGACCCTGCTCAAAATCCTATGCAGGTTTCCAAGAGCAGTACTGCCTGTGTATGATGATGCAGAAGATTTGAGCAGAAAATATCTTGTAGATGCCTTTTCCCAATCCAGAGGATCCACATGACAATCCAATATTTGCAATGATTTGCCAAAGTCATCAGGTACTTTAGTGATATATGGCAAATTCAGATTTTGTAGTATGTAGTAGATATTTTATCTTACGTATACTCTGAATTAGCTGAATAGTAACAAGGTTAACTGTTTAGCTGCCTGAAGAGAATTAATTTGGTGTTAATGTTGTTGCCTGTGAGGAAGGGCAATTATATTCAGTAGCATTGTGCTATGCTCAAAAACATGTTATCCTCTTCTATATTAAGCATGAGGGATGGTCGAAGTAACAGAGGCCCCATACCCCAGCCATTCTTTCCAGCGAGGAATTTTGTTTTAAGAGTAAGGTACTCTTTCTACATGTCCAGTGTACAATCTATTCTGAGTCGTATTACCCAGTCCTGAAGGCCTAGGCATTGGAGAAGCACATACAGCTTTTTTGATTCTTCCAAAAGTGGCCTTGGTGATCCACCTCTATTACACCTGGTCAATTGAATGTAAAAATGGCAGAGTACATTTGAAATTAATTCTTGGTATCTCACAGCTTTAAAACATGACAGCTGCCCTGTACAGCTCAAGAAGCAGGGGTTCAAAGAGGCTCACTCTAGATGGAACCATGTTTGGATGGAACGCGATCAAAATGATCTACAGGCAAGAAATGGAATGAGCAGAGAGGGGTCTAAGCTGCAAAGTCCCTGGATTGAAATATGCGTTTGTCTACCACGACAACTGGACATGTCTCAATGTGAGACCAGCTAAGATCATCCAGGTGACTATATTGTGATTGCCCAGAAATAAGAGTATTGACATGTGGGCTTCAAATTTGCTTATCTCTTATCTACACTAGAAAGTGTAATATCTTTCCATGAAAGGCCCCCTTTTGGTGCTGACCAATCAGGGTTTAAATAGCGGGGAAACCCCATTTGCTTACAACAGTTCCTCCATTTGGATTTTTAATTCATAGATTTCTACCATAATTGTTCATTGATCAATAAATAAATAAATATTGTTTTAATTCATAGGAACATTACATGATTGCAGCAATTCAAGTCCTTACCAAAGAAACCAATCAGGAGAGTGATTGATTTCATGGATGCTTGTCACCTCATCTTTGGGAAAGGACTCCTGAGGAAACCCAGGGTAAACAGTTTGAACAGCCCTGTTCTCCATAACATCAAGAAAGGAATGGCTTTCTTTGAAAAATGGTGTCATAAACATGAAAAAAGGTACAGCTTTGTCATATCTAGCATGTTATCTTCAAAGCAACAGAGTTTTCAAACTGAAGTTCAGTTATAAATTTACAGACTATTGTCTTGAGGAGTCTAGTGTATACAGCCTTCACTGCATGTTGCCTTCATAAGGATCATAACATAACTTCAAGCATTAGAGAGATGTCTCTAAGTTCTCAGTTTAACAGTTTTAAGCTACATTTACAAGGGTGGATGATTCTGCATTGTAAAAAATCACGCCAAGAAATAGACACTTCAATAAGTAAGTTACACTTTGTTGTTATGTCCACAGAATATCCTGACAACACCAGGAAATCGAGACAGAAAAAGTTTCTCGCATGGCAGGTTAGTCGGGGAGGGATGTCACAATTTTTAAATAGTCTTAAACAGTGTTCAATTTTGTTGCTGTCACAATAACCAAGGAAAGTTGTGGGTTGCTGTCAGGGCCCAAAGACATCAATAGCAATAAATATCCTAACTTCTGGTTGATGTTCTAAGTCCTGCACAGTAAATTTATGTGACTACAAATTTATGTGGCTACTCTGACTATAAGCAACTTTCAGTAGTCATATTTCAAGAATTTCAGCAAATGGACCCTTAAAACGCTAGATATAGTCTGGTAAGGAACTCTGAGTGGAGTTTTCATATTGAATCAATAAAGAGGCTTACAATAATAAATTAATGCCAATAAATAAATGTGGAATCCAGAATAGGATAATACCAATGAGGTGGTTCTCTTCTTCTCTCAGTTGCCCCCTTTGAAGCTAATCAAAATTGTCAATGAGATCTCCGTTCACAGCACAACGTTCTACAGTAAATAGCTGTCACACAGTGTTGACTTATTGTTTCATAGTTACTAAAATTAGGTTTAATTAGTTGGCTGTGAATCCCATTGGTACATAGGAGGATGGTTAACATTATTGATTGATGATGTAAGCAATTAAAGGAGTTTTGCTACAAGAGACTTATCAAGATTAAAAAAAAAACTGGATCCAACTGACAGGGCAACATGCTAACATCTGCATCTTATTCTAATTTCAACTTTGTAACTATTTCATAGTTGTTGTGTTTCTTTTTTGAAGCTTTTTCTTCATACAAATTTAACCCATCCCTTTTCGAACGTAGCATATTCAGGAATGACGATGTATATCAAGTTAGAGTGTATGTATAGGACCAAAGTAATAATAATAGGACCTAAGTGCTTCAAGTGGTACCACCGGTTTTAAACAAAATCTTTTTCCTCATCCAGGCCTGAGAATAACCTTTGCATAGTGGTTTATTTAGTCCAAATTAATTTCAGGCACTGCATAAGATGTAATAGACACAAGGTGTGACCAATCTCTATGGGTATTCACCAATGGCAACTGGAAATTAAGCCATTGCATAGATAAATATAAAACCAATTTTACACCATTAGCTGACAAGAAGTCTGAATATTTTTTAATTTTATCTTTAAGGTGATAAAAATTTTTATAAGGACAAATGGCAAACATTGTTGATACATTCTTTGTTACGACTATGTTTTTTCATTTGTTGTTTATTTTGCCTTTTTACTTAATATACAGTATTGATAAATATTTTAATGTGAGGCAAGGTGACCTCTAGAAACCGTCAAGCTTTCAGTTGATGCCACCTCGTAAGTAAGAATACAGCTACATAAATAGTGCAACAGTGTGCGCCTTTGCCAGTTCAGTAATTATTTTACCCAAAACTCTAGCAGTTTTTTCTTAAAATTGGGAATACTTGACAGTGGTGGTCTGTTACTTGCAAAGTAAGAGCAGTTGTGTCTTCGGTAGCTCCCTGATCAGATTGAACTTAAGTAGCTTTTAATATGCCTAATGCCACTGTAACATCATCGAAAAGGGAAAATGACAGCCTAAAAGCAGAAATCACTACCCTTACACATGGATTTGAAAATCTGCAGTAAACTCTCACACATAACGATGCACAGGAATCTGGCAATGGTGGTGAAGCAAGTTGCTCCATCACGAAAGACGAAGCAATGAACACTCTTCAATTCTATGGAAAAGCTTACAACAATCTCCACTTGTGGTCACATTCAAATGCTCTAACTTCTTGAGTAGATGATATCAGAAATACAATCGATGAAATTCAGCATTACAGCTACCAGTACAATGTCAAGGTAGTTGGTCTCCCTGAAATGGACCCGCAAGAATCGGCATTCGCCACTACGTCTTTATGCATAAGCCTCCTAAAAGCTTCAGGAGTGGATATAAATAACCAAGATGTCAACATTGTGCATTGTGTCCCGACTAGACAAGCTACTGCTGGCCCAAGACTGGTTATCTGCAATTTACTCGAAGAATTGTTAAAGATGTTAGTGCAACACATGTAATTGGAAAAGTTACAAGCAATAACAATGATTGAACTGGGGCCCACTTTACCTATTCACAGAATTCTGAAAGGAAATAACTCCAAAATAACAATAACTTGCGTTTTGTCACCAAAGCAAAAGCTTTAAGAGATGGTCCAAGCATTTCATCGGCATTCACCACTTCCCTTGGTTATTCCATTCTAGCATTCATAAATTCATTTATCCTGGTGTTTGCCAGTTTTGATACCAGTGCATGGTAAAGAGCATTACAGTCAAAACAGCTCAAGCATTCCTGCCAAGGGTGAATGAATGAGTTCATTATTGGAAATTTGATTTCATTACTTGTTTTAATAGTCCATTCTTCAAGTGAAGAGTAGAAAATTCAAGACTCGATCCAATACTCGAATTTTAACTAGATTAATGAACAATATGCTTAAACCATATTTGGACTGCTAAGAACCAGGAACTTCTCCCGTAGTGGCGGGAAAGATATCAAAGATGGTTGACATCGAAGCAAGTTTTATGGATGGGGCAGAAAAGGTAGGTTTACATCAAGATACCTAACTATTTTTAGGACAGAAAAATTGTATTACTGGACTTCAATGGAATTAAAAAAGTTGCTGATATCAAAGAGGCGACAGAGAAAATACAACTTATTGAATCCGTTTTCGGAACAACCTTAGACCAACATTCCATGGTTTCCCTTCAAAGATTCGATGTCGAATGGGGGAAGTTGACGTGGAAATAAAAGAGGTCAAGAACAGAGGCAAGCTGAAAGTAAAAATTGTCAAAAACAATCTTCACACCAGAAAGCTCCCAACACAGCTACAAACAAGCACACAGGCAGTTGATAGAATGACAAAAAAATGAGAAGGGCACAGAAGCACTCTGCAATACCACTTTGAGATAGCTCAGCCAACCCTGTCATCTTTCAGGGAAAACCCAAGACAAAGAGAGCCATTAGGCCAAAACATAGCTTTTACAAGTAGTAACTGTCACTATAGAGGCCAGAGTCAACACTTGTCACCAGCTACCTTGTCAAGGTTTCTTTGACTGTGGGATGACCGCCTTGCACAAAGAGCACTGAGAGCAAATTAAAAAGGTACAAAACTTATTTCCTTTCTCAACCAGTTAAGGCAAAAGGGAAGAATAGGGAATGCCTATTTATTACACAGTCCTTAAGCAGAACAAGCGCACATTAATCAGTTTTAAATATAATTTGCTTGTTCCTATCAGAACAGGGCAAAAAATTAGAATGAATAGGCCATTTCTTGATTTCCTGTGGCTCACTTTTCTTTGGTCTTGAATAACAATTTTTTTTCTTCGATATATTTGACACTGTCTGTCTGTGACCTGTTTAATTAATAAATAAATTTATTATGTATTAAAATAACAGAATGCTTATTTTGTGTTGGGACTTACAGCACATTCATGTGACTTTTAATACGTGTTAGTAGTGCCTTTTCATTGGTTCCATTCCTTTTACATTGGCAAAATCAGTAAAGATTAAGGTTTGGGGTAACAGCAATAGCACACCTGTTTTCACTGTTCAGTTGACCCCTTTTTCAGGCAGAAGCAGAAGTGAAGGAGGTCTCCAAGATGCTGAATCAGAACAAAGAAGAGATAACTAACACCACATTGCTGAAGTGAAAACAAGATTTTGTTACTATCTTGATCACAGAATAAAACATACAGAGAGATTTCCTGGCTTCATTGAAAATTGCCTAAGTTTGGTCTTTTATGTCTTACACCAGGGAAAGGACAAGAGCCAACTTCTTTGCTGTTGTAACAAAAAGATTACAGAATTGCCACCCATCAAGTACTCAAATAGAGTCTGCCCTGATTATGATCCAAGAGTATTAGCAGCTGTTTGTAAACATAAGGTCCCTGCAAATGGTGTTAATTTGGAAGAAATTATTAAAAATCACAAGAGGAATGCTGCAAATTACAAGTCCTCGGAATATACAAGTCATGGTATGTTGAAATTCAGTACTGTTGTTGTAAATAACTCAATGCCAGAATTGTTTCTTGTCTTAGTGTTGACTAACACCCTTTAATTTAATAAGCAACCCTGTCTGAGTGGTCAAAGCAGTTGGTGTAGAAATAAACCTCATCTCTCTTACCTTCTTAAAATAACACTCTTGGCAACATTTGAGATTTTTAAAGTGAACCTATCCTGCCAGGGGTGGTGGTTTCTCTTTACAATACAGTGTCTAAAGGATAGTGACCAACATCTATGAATGTGGTTCAATAAATAGCTCAGCTTTTACTTGGCCTTGTAGCATAGCATTTGTTTTGCCCCTTGAGTGTTACAGGCTGAAATTTCTTTCATAGACAACCTATGCTGTTTGTTACTTGTATCAACACTTCCCAAAGTTTCATCAATATAAGCCCAGACAAAAGTCCTTGAGACAGTAAGCCACCAAGCCTCAGTTGTTCAATGGGTGGATAATGCTATCCACTGGATAAATCACCATCCAGTGTATGGCGTAGTATGCTTTGTCAACAATCATCAGTGGATAGTGATTTTTTCAGTGGATGAGTATTATCCAGCCTTTCAACAACTGGGCCCCAGACATTTGTAAAGCAATTATAGCTGCAGGTTTTGACTGTCAATGACCACTCCATCCTCCTTCAAACATTATCTGAACTTCAAGTCGAGGTGCTGCCCATGCAAAGGTGGAAACTGTCCAGATTTGTTTGCAGGAGCTAATGGGTAAAGGAGTACAACAGTTGGATAATCATATGTCTCTTTTTGTTTAGCTCTGAACCAAAATTACTGCCAAAGCCCCAGACCTAGCCATTTGCAGGAAAAGTTCTCTCTAAGACTAAATAATTATTTCAATAGCTGTTATGATGTCAGCTATAACAACTCTCCATCAAATTACTATGGTGGACGGCCCTCAAACCATAGCCCTAGTCCCAGACCATATGGTGCTCGCACATAGCACAGGGAAGGAAGATTACATTCACCTCCAACAAGAAGTTGGTCAGATGATCCAAATTCATGGGATTCACCTGCCACAAGTTCCAAAAGTCCAGCAATCTTGACAGACAAACAGGAAAGGAAAAGGCTCAATTATACAAAAAATATTTCAAAACAAAGCAAAAGAAGTAACCAGACACTGGGTAGGGATAAAAGGTCAAGCTTGATTGATAAATTTCCAAAACGGTTAGTACCTAGGTCCTCATCTGTTACCACAATGCAGTCTCCTGCAGCATACTCGAGAAAGACACCACAGTTGTAACTGATGGGAAATCACCTGAGCCATTGTCTGAATCCTCTGTTTTGGCATTCAAAGACAGTAAGCAGTCAGCTCTTTGACATTGAAACTTGGTCTAAAGAAAAATCACCCAAATAAGGGAACCTGAGAATACGGAGTCTTCCCAAACTCCCTAAATCGTAATTGTCAATATGGTAGAATTGCAAAAGCAAACTTCATAAAGAAAATTGTAAAGTTCAAATGGTATTTCTGTGCAAGGGAGAAAGGGGTATGGGTGTTTTTGTAACTGTGAAAATATGATGGCACAATTACAATGGTGATATTTTCAACTTTATTTTTGAAGCCTTTGCTGAGCAAGTGACTAGATTTTCCATGGCTAAAGGGCTGCTGGTTTTCATGGAACTGGTGGGAACTTCATGCTGGTACAAGTTAACCCCAGTTTTGTCATGCTTTGTTTTCACAATACCACAAATTCTTGTACTAGAGCAAATGATAACAGTGAACTCATACTAAACACATATATGCAAGTTGCACAGTACAAGTTTTCGGCTCCTTTCAGGATGACAATTGCATGAGTGTCATGTAAACACCCCTTGAGTCAATTTTATGTTTGCAGTCACGGCTGTAAACTGCAATGGAAATTTGACCATCCTTTCTTTTTTTGAGTTTCAGTGTTAGTTAAAGAATGCTTTTATGGTTCTGTATTATACTGGCATTTACAAGTTCCTTGTAAAAGAGGCAATTACTCCCAGTTATTTGATTGTGCTACTTTTCAATCAAGTTGAGAGTTAAAACCATTGCACTAAAATGGGACCAACTGTTTCAAAACAAAGATGGCAGCTTCTATCCCTTGCCTTTACAACATAATTATAGTCATGTGACACGTTTGTTCATTGCCAATGGTATAACAATATATTATTAATGAAAGGCAGTGTTCTTCCCATCAAGTAAGTTTCAAATTAATAGGTGGTGTAAACCAAGCTGGGGTCATTCCAAGAAGACCCATCACTAGAACTGTGCAACTTCCTCAATTATTCCTGTCCCAGTGTTTTCACAGACCAACCTTTTTTTAGTTTGAATTTATCTCGAATTCAGCCCCTGCAGGAACCTCAGTGACCAATCACAAGCACGACCTTTGTAATTTCACCGGAAGATTACGTCGCCATGTCCACCTCAGGCCTCCATTTTTCCCCTTACCAATGCATGCTCATGTAGATGGGAACTGACGTTTTGGGGGAAAAGAAGCCTAAAAATAGACCGGTCTGTAAAAATACTGACACAGGCTTAGTATGGGAGTTGCAGGCTCCTAGTGATGGGCTCCTGACCAAAATTGACGCCAGGGTACATACATGAAGGGCTAACAGCATATCGCAATGCATAATAGGGTGATTTCTGTAAAGTACTTTATTTGGCAAGTTCAGGAAAGATGAACACTTCAGCTTTATGATATGGCAGAAGACCATAATGAGCTCCTGGATATGGCTCAAACTGTCGGAGTCAAGGGCCCAAAATTAAACAAAATGCTTGAGTAGCCATTTGGCGACTAAGTGATAAAAATCAAGTGGAATTTTATTCAGAAAATTATTCAAAGCATAACATCTGTAAAGAAAAAATTTCCAAGACTTTTTTGGCCACTAACTTTGTGTATGCATTACAAAAGACACAATTGGTAGGTATACATGGTGTACTTAATGCTTAAGGGTTTGCAATGCATTATAGGGCGATTTCAAACACGATCAGCCATTTGCAAGTTTTCCGATGTGAGGGAATCCTCTACAACAAAGCAAAAGGATAGATTGCTTTCTTTTCTTATGTTGAATGTTATAGAAGTAAAGATCTTTCACTATGTATTTATGGAAGGACATCATGACTGAGAAAATAACCGTTGTTGATTGTCAACACAGAGAAACATAGTCACCATTATGGTAGCCTATGAACGCAGACATATTTTTGTTAGTCGACTAAACTAGAATTTTTGGTCGCCAAAGATGAAATTTTAGCCACATTGGTGACCGTGCCGGTCACAACTTCGAGCCTTTTTAACAATTTATATAACCAAATTTTACAGATGGACAATAGGTGTTGGTGAAATGTTCGGACATCATGTCCGATCATAATGTGAAATTGACCGGACATATTCAAAATGTGGTCGGACAATGTGCAATGATCGACTGTTATTTCCAGCCCTGTTTGCATCATTGTAAATAAGGCAACTAAGTAACAATTCTTACTTCAATGTTGTATATTTTAATTTGTATAACAGAGGGCCCAGATTGCACAAGAAGGCAACAAATTCAATTACATTTTTCAAAATTTCCTGAAAGAGGCCCACCAGAACACACCCCCCCTCCCCCACCCCCATGGGAGGAAGCTACGCACCTTCTTTAAGCTGGCCTAATGAAAATCTTCAGACTATTTTCTTAGCTACAACCCTGCCTGTGTAACCCACACATAATATTCAATATTTTTCCACTCCTGTTATTGCTTTGATCACAGCCATTTTGTTAGATCAAGATAAAATACGCTAGTTTGATGCTCATACAAAGTTTTTAATGCAATGTTTTTAAACTAAACAGAATGTCATAAAGAAACTTAACAAGAATTTATTGCCCACATGAAATAATTGGTTAAACCATTTCAAGTTATGACTTTAATTTCTTGTAATTGGTGCTATAATTTCTAATTAAAAAATAATAATCTCTAATGGCACTATGCCTTCAGGATGAGATATTAGGCATAGATGCTGTTTTCATGAATCTAAATAGCATGTTGTGCAGCAAAAAATTGCAGTAACTGGAGATAGTTTACAAAAGGTTCCCAAAGCAAATGTCAAATCTTGATTTCTGAGGCCTCTAGGAGTATTGGGAATGAGGGATTGGAATCAGTTCCCTCACAGATAANCTTGAGTCCGAATACACTAAGAGTCTAGAAGAGTTTAAAGATAAGACATTAACAGAGGCTCTTGAACAAGCTAGGAAACAGTGGACTACCAAAGAACTTTCACATCGAGAAGAAATTGTTAAGGTAGGTGGAATGATTAGTTACTGGTCGCGGAGCCTCGCTAAACGTTACAATGGGCACGTGTGGGCTTGGCAAGAGTTTTTTTGATGGGGGAAAACGCAGCTTATATTTCAAGCATTTTGTGGTTATTTATAGTAGGATAGAAGGGTAGTGGGGAGGGAGGGAGAGACAATTTCATTTTGGTGCAAGGCAAGAACAATACTTAGCTATTCATCAACTTGAAGGTGACCGCTGTGACTAGTATGTGAAGCTGACGTATCGATCGTTTCCTTCGTCAAAGCTTCACAAACTCGCTTCGTCGGTTAATTTGCCTTTACAAACTTCAAGTTGATACTTACCTTAGTCAGTGTTTCACTTAGAGCAAAAAAATTCCTTTGCCCTATGACCCAGCACAACAATTTCCTTAGAAACTAATAACTTTGCTCCTTCCTTTTATGTGCCCGAGCACGAGAATTCAGAGAGTTACTGTACACTGTAGCATTTTCATTATTTCATTCTAAGCTTCTTTTGAATAAAGGGAAAATAGTTTTTTTTTCATCCGGTGTGGACACATGTAAAAGCCTTTATTTTTCTATAGGCTCGTCTGGCAGCTGCGCGAGAGGACTGGCGCCGGGATATGGCCCAGTCTACACAAGTAGAGATCGACCATGCTTTGTCTACTGCCAGAGAGGCATGGGCAGCAGACCACGAGAAAGAACTCGAGGAGCGTGTGAGCCAGTTAGAGAAGGATCTAAGAGAACAACTGGAAGCTAAATATGACGAGGAAAAAAGGCAGCTTGTAGATGATACACTACAAGAAGCGGAGGCGAAGTTCAAGAACGAAAGAAGGAAATTAGAAGAAGAACTGAGAAGGAATAACGTGAGTTTGTACTTAACGAATAAATCCTCAGCTTTCATGAGGTACACTTATTTGTCAGTTTTGACTGGTCTTTTGTACCACTTGACGTTATTTCTACCAAAACTAGTCTAACGTTTGTGTTACCTACGTTTGGGCCCTCTTGTACATAATATACAGATGTCAACACTCCGATGCAGAAGTCATGAATTTAATAGAACATAAAGACAAATTGGGAGGTAAGGGTTACAGCTGTCTAAATAGGCGTAGGGTAGGAGTCTTTTAAGTGTAAGTTTAATAAAATGCTTAGTTCAGTTCTGTTCTGCTGAACACTTTCTATTTTCCTCCCAGGCAGACGATTCGTCACGTGCTAAATGGCAAGACGAAAGGGCTCGCTTAGTGGAAGAACATAAGAAACAACTCCAACACATGCGCAGTGAATACGACTCTAAATGGGCAGATCAAGGTGCCCAGATTGAGAGGGATCTGGGTATAAGGATGAACGCTGAACTAGAGAAAGCCAGGAATGGTTGGGAGAAAGAACAACAGGATGCGAGGTGTGCTTTTCATAAAATGTTTCGTTTACTGTTTTGGTTGTCTTCGGTAAGCGTTGATGTGAGCCCGTTCCTTGCAGGATTCAACTACAGAAGCAATGTGAGCAGAAAACAAGACAAGTGGTTGAAAATGCCAGACGACAGTGGGAAAAACAACAGCAACAAGAAATAAGCAAAAGCTGCGATGACGCGGTAAAGCGACAGCAGGAGATATGGGCTATTGAGAGAGGAGAAAATTTGTCGGTCTTGGAGAAAGTGAAACACGAGCTAGCCACGGTAAAGAAGGAATACGCCATGACTGTAGATAAACTGAAGAGAGAATTGACAGAAGAAAGAAAGAAAACACAGTACAGCTTCGAACGGCGAGACTCGAGGGATTATGCCACTCAGGTATCTTGTGTTACGTCGCTATAAAATGTCTCGGATGGTTTGAATTGGCGGTGGATGTTTTAAAATGACAGCCATGAATCATGAGCACGGTTTGTGCGGTCTTACGAGCTCGTGCACCCAAAAACTAAGACTGTCGCTTGGAATGTCGCTTTGGTTTGTTTCGAAAGTTCTTGTTGCAACTAAGACACAACGAGTTAGTAGTTTACCGTGACAGCGGTTTGTTTTGGGAGCCAATTTCAGCCCAGAAAGACACCATTCCGCGCTAAGCTGTTACCCATTCGCTCAGACAAGTAGTTAGGTCGCCATCTTGGATTCAGTAGCGAGGGGAAACAAAGAAGAAGAAAAAGCGTTACACAATCCCTTCTCCGCGCGTTGGGTGTAATGCTTTTGTACCCAACCCTTATTGCTAAATCCAAGGTGGCGAATGTTCTTCAGTTCAATCACTGAATTTTCATTTGCAAAATTTGGGAACTACACAAATACACAGTGCATTACACTACATGTATCTGTATCTGATTTTTGGGTGAGCCTTAGTTTCCGGCGTTAACCAAAACTCACTGTCTTTTTTCAAAACAGAGTTTATAGTATTCTTTTAATGCTCTCGCGTTTTCGTCTAGACCGTGCTGCAAGTGGACAGCGGTAGCGATACAAGTTTCAGTAGTTTGGATCACGTGTCAGCCTCGCGAGGACTACACGAACTACGTCAGCACTACTTGGACACCATTGCTAAGATACGCGATGACGTGTTGGATCATGTGAATCAAACCAAGTCTAATGCAGCGAAAAAGATGAGGTAATTTGTTGTTGAATTGCTGTTCAGAGAATCGACCTAAATTGATTCTATTCTGGCACCGCAAAGGTGCCTCAGTGTTAAGTTGTTCAATGCGCGCAAAACTTCGAAAGCGAACAACTTTAGATGTTGAACGGCTCTCTGTACGGCTTGGCCATCAGTACTGATTTGAGCGCGCAATTTTTGATTGATGCGCTGGGCTAAACTGCAGTGCTGGAAATAATTTTTCTTCTTTAACAGGACAATTGTCCTTTCAAATCTTCATTTTGGTCGGACATCTTATTAATTTGACCGGACACTAATTTGTATAATTGATTAGCATAATTAATTAGCATAAAAAATTTATTAGCATACTGTAAAGATTTTCAGTACAAATCGTTCAAAACTGTATTGAAATTTGATTTATTTATCATTTATAATTAACTAGATGACTTTATCTACTAAATGACCGCACCAATCTCTCCTGGTTATTTCCTGATTATATGTTCTTCAAGCAAACCTAGTTTTCTACGCAGGAACCCATCACTAGGACTGTGCAACTTCCTCAATTATTCCTGTCCCGGTGTGTTCACAAACCGATCTTTTTTAGTTTGAATTTACCTCGAATTCAGCCCCTGCAGGAGCCTCAGTGACCAATCACAAGCACGGACTTTATAATTTCACCAGAAGATTAGGTCGCCATGTCCACCTCAGGCCTCCATTTTTCCCCTTACCGATGCACGCTCATGTAGACGGGAACTGACCTTTTTCGAGGGAAAAGAAGCCTAAAAGTAGACCGGTCTGTTAAAATACTGTGACATAGGCTTAGTATGGGAGTTGCAGGCTCCTAGTGATGGGCTCCTGACCAAAATTGACGCCAGGGTACATACATGAAGGGCTAACAGCATATCGCAATGCATAATAGGGTGATTTCTGTAAAGTACTTTATTTGGCAAGTTCAGGAAAGATGAACACTTCCGCTTTATGATATGGCAGAAGTCCATAATGAGCTCCTGGATATGGCTCAAACTGTCGGAGTCAAGGGCCCAAAATTAAACAAAATGCTTGAGTAGCCATTTGGCGACTAAGTGATAAAAATCAAGTGGAATTTTATTCAGAAAATTATTCAAAGCATAACATCTGTAAAGAAAAAATTTCCAAGACTTTTTTGGCCACTAACTTTGTGTATGCATTACAAAAGACACAATTGGTAGGTATACATGGTGTACTTAATGCTTAAGGGTTTGCAATGCATTATAGGGCGATTTCAAACACGATCAGCCATTTGCAAGTTTTCCGATGTGAGGGAATCCTCTACAACAAAGCAAAAGGATAGATTGCTTTCTTTTCTTATGTTGAATGTTATAGAAGTAAAGATCTTTCACTATGTATTTATGGAAGGACATCATGACTGAGAAAATAACCGTTGTTGATTGTCAACACAGAGAAACATAGTCACCATTATGGTAGCCTATGAACGCAGACATATTTTTGTTAGTCGACTAAACTAGAATTTTTGGTCGCCAAAGATGAAATTTTAGCCACATTGGTGACCGTGCCGGTCACAACTTCGAGCCTTTTTAACAATTTATATAACCAAATTTTACAGATGGACAATAGGTGTTGGTGAAATGTTCGGACATCATGTCCGATCATAATGTGAAATTGACCGGACATATTCAAAATGTGGTCGGACAATGTGCAATGATCGACTGTTATTTCCAGCCCTGTTTGCATCATTGTAAATAAGGCAACTAAGTAACAATTCTTACTTCAATGTTGTATATTTTAATTTGTATAACAGAGGGCCCAGATTGCACAAGAAGGCAACAAATTCAATTACATTTTTCAAAATTTCCTGAAAGAGGCCCACCAGAACACACCCCCCCTCCCCCACCCCCATGGGAGGAAGCTACGCACCTTCTTTAAGCTGGCCTAATGAAAATCTTCAGACTATTTTCTTAGCTACAACCCTGCCTGTGTAACCCACACATAATATTCAATATTTTTCCACTCCTGTTATTGCTTTGATCACAGCCATTTTGTTAGATCAAGATAAAATACGCTAGTTTGATGCTCATACAAAGTTTTTAATGCAATGTTTTTAAACTAAACAGAATGTCATAAAGAAACTTAACAAGAATTTATTGCCCACATGAAATAATTGGTTAAACCATTTCAAGTTATGACTTTAATTTCTTGTAATTGGTGCTATAATTTCTAATTAAAAAATAATAATCTCTAATGGCACTATGCCTTCAGGATGAGATATTAGGCATAGATGCTGTTTTCATGAATCTAAATAGCATGTTGTGCAGCAAAAAATTGCAGTAACTGGAGATAGTTTACAAAAGGTTCCCAAAGCAAATGTCAAATCTTGATTTCTGAGGCCTCTAGGAGTATTGGGAATGAGGGATTGGAATCAGTTCCCTCACAGATAATAAGGTGCATCAGGTAAATTTTCCTCACACCAATTAACTGTGACAATACCAAGGTAGTTTAGGTAACAACTGTTTTTGGTCTTCTAGCTGATGATGAAACTGACATTTCTAATATCATGTGGTGGACTCAAGATTTGTTTCTTGTCCAATAACAACCCTCTACAGGATTCTTCATCTAATGATCAGCAACACCGGACTTAGTCAGACAAAAAATAGGTCATAACAGGACACTCTAAAAGGACAGACCATCAACGCACATCAACAAAAAAGCGGGTGATTCAATGACCCCAAATTTACCACTTCACTTGAATTTACTGCTGTTACTTAGCTTAAATGGTGAAAAGGCAACTGAAAAAGTCTGTTGGAATATGTTAGCTTGGGAAACTTTGTCTCATCTGGGGAAAAGATTGTCTTGTCACAGTTAAAATACTTTGGAATGCAGTGTAAGATCAGGATGACAAGTCCAAAGTAAAAGGGATGGAGGAAAAAATGGTAGCAGGAAGTAGGATTTGCAAACCCTATAAACAATTCACAAGGCAACATCTGAAAAATAAAACAATTTTCATTAAAAAGTGGCCGTCCAGAGGATGCCTGGACACCCATTTTAATAAAGCCTAGAGGGCAACGAGGTAACTAAAGTTAAGTCAGACATGTCAGAAATAAAATTGTAAGTTAGTTGAAGAGAGTGAAGATCACAAGGATGAGGACCAGAGCACAGGAGGCTTTTTCACTTGCTCACGGAAGAACACTCTAACCACGCTAAAAAAGATGAGTGATAAGGACTATGACAGTGACTTTTAGTTTTCAGATGAAGATCCTTATATAAATCACATTAATGATCTTAAAGTAGCATTTAACTAATAATGAATTAATGAAATATTCTATTTAACCAGCAACAGAGCACATTAACCTTCTATTTATCATTTCATAAGTATTTTATTTGCATGATTGTAAATAAGGCAACTAAGTAACAATTCTTTCTTCAATGCTGTACATTTTAATTTGTATAACAGAGGCCCCAGATTGCACAAGAAGGCAACAAATTCAATTACATTTTTCAAAATTTCCTGAAAGAGGCCCACCAGAACACCACCGCCCCCCCCCCCCCCCCCCCCCCCCCCCCCCCCCCCCCCCCCCNCCCCCCCCCCCCCCCCCCCCCCATGGGAGGGGGCTACAAACCTTCTTTAAACTGGTCCAATGAAAATCTTCAGACTATTTTCTTAGCCACAACCCTGCCTGTGTAACCCACACATAACAGTCAATATTTTTCCACTAATGGGATTTAACTTTCAGATTCTTGCCATTTTGCCTATATTGACCCTTCTTTGTTCACCAGGCCACAAGATATGTTTTTCCTGTTACCTAAAGGGATAACCATTGACGTCTGGAGCTTTATGGCAAAACCAATTTTGGGACAATTTTGGCTTGATGTGAGCTCAATTAGCCCTAATCTACTAAAACGGTATTTGCAACATGACACCATACCTTTCTGTCTGCTGGTATTGCATTTGAGGACATTTTTGCTCAAGTATGCACACAAATCAAAATTCTGTGTAAGTGATCCAAGTATTATTTTATTTATTCACTTATTTTTTGGGGAGGAGGGGAGGCTTTCCTTTTCCTCCTATTCTTATCTGTGACCTTCTACAGGGATTGCTTCCAGTTGAATAAGTCCTAGGAAAGCATTATCAAGATGGGAAATTCTTGCCACAGAGTAACCAAGTATGTAGTTGAGGAAATTTTGCTCTGTGTTTTTCCCTTAAATTTTTTAAGCATTTTTCATGCATATTTTGCACTTAACAGACCCAGCCTCTCTGATCTGGGTATCACTGAAAAGATCTTTTCCTCCTGCACAACTTGAGTATAAGTGATGCCAATTTTGGTCAAAAGTGTAACATCAAAGGTGGAACAAAGGCCAACCATCATCACAGCTGGTTACAGCTGGCACAGGTCTCCATGGGTGAACGTACATTATTCAGTGGACGGCATTATTCCACAATGTCTGTTAGTACAGCAATGTACTGCTTGTTTATTTATCTTTTACTCAATAGTCAAGTAAGATCGGTGCTGTTTTTGGACTATTTCCAGCCATTTGAATGCACATGCTACGATACAGCTACCATAGGAGAGAGGGCCAAGAAAGACTAAGCAGAAGCTTACGGCTAAATCAATAAATTCAGGTAACATACAGTTCAGTAAACCAAGCATACAACATGTCCATCCAAATTACAGACAAGAAGGGAACACAGAATCAATCAACAAGACTAACCCCTTGAACTCCAATGCACCCCAAAACAATCCTCTCTAAAATCCCAAGCCACCCATGTGCAGCCTGTCTGAAATGGATTCTTTTAATTGGTTGTTTAAAATAGATTCTTTTAACTGGTTGGTTAAATTCCCCTGGGTACTGAAAAGTAGTGAAATTTAGGTGCATAAAGTAACCTCTAAATTGAGACCAAACTTGACTTTCCACATACTTTCTCCATTCCATGAATTTTAAACATTGCTTCTGGAAGATGTGACAAGGCCTCAGTTTCATCCAATGAAGAACTAGAGATTTTTGCCTGATCTATTGACAAAGAGATTGGCCAAATTAGGCAGGATCGTTAAAGGCAGCAAGAGCAACGATTAGTTAGCGATGTTGTCAAAGGGATCAAAGCGAAATTCAAGTAGTGGAACAGGTTTAAAACTGCAAGGCAACAATGTTTTGATACAACTGTGGCATGAATAAGGTCAATGGAGTACAATCCACCTGGACTGCCTTTCAGAAAGAGGTGGAAACACTTTCTTAAGTTTTCCCTGAACCTCTCCATGGTGAATGCTTTTATCATTGAGAAAATAGCTAGCAAGAAGCAACACTAACTGGACTTGGTAACTTAGACTTGGCACACACTCTATAAGACCACACTCTTGCATGGCAGGGTCTTGGCAGGTCTTGGCAAACAAGTGCCCAAAACGTTTTTCTATGTCGATTGCCATGTCAAATAACAGTTTATTCACCAGGGTCACAAACATTTTTGGTGACCTGTCAAGAGTAAGACAATGCACTTTTATGCTTCAATGCTTCAAATTGTCTGAGGCCAGGGATTTCCCTCACAACTAAGAGTTTGAGTACCAACAATTTTGTTGGTTGCAGCTGCATCCTCTAATCAGGGGAATTGCTGGCTTAAGCAAAGCTCTTTCCAAGTATGCTCCTGTTATTGCTTTGATCACAGCCATTTTGTTAGATCAAGATAAAATACGCTAGTTTGATGCTCATACAAAGTTTTTAACGCAATGTTTTTAAACTAAACAGAATGTCATAAAGAAACTTAACAAGAATTTATTGCCCACATGAAATAATCGGTTAAACCATTTCAAGTTATGACTTTAATTTCTTGTAATTGGTGCTATAATTTCTAATAAAAAAAAATAATAATAATCTCTAATGGCACTGTGCGTTCAGGATATGATATTGGTTTATAATTAGGCATAGATGCTGTTTTCATGAATCTAAATAACATGTTGTGCAGCAAAAAATTGCAGTGACTGGAGATAGTTTACAAAAGGTTCCCAAAGCAAATGTCAAATCTTGATTTCTGAGGCCTCTAGGAGTATTGGGAATGAGGGATTGGAATCAGTTCCCTCACAGATAA